AAGGTTTCCTGGGATAACTTTCGGTTTTCAAAAAGAGCACCAGGGTTTCTGAGAATACGGTTGAGGGTTTCCGGACCTATATTTCGAAAACTCATAGGTTTCCGGATACTCGGAAACCTTGAAGATATTTTCAGAAACTTAACATGAGTCCGGAAACCTTCCCGGATACGTTCAAGGGTTTCGGAAACGGTTTCTGAAGGGGTTTCGGTTTCTGAGAAAACGTTTTTTTTTAGAGTGTACACCCCCCCACTTTCGCGGGGCCTGGGTGTTGGTGTGTAGGTGTGGGTGTGGGTATCAGAAAGATAGTTCACTTGAGAGACAGTAATAGCAACAGCGCAAAATTTTAACAAGATAAGATTTTTTTTCTCAGACATTTTAGTTCAAAAATTGTTGAAACATGTTCTTTCGTGATATCACTAGCATATGCTTTTTTTTGGCATAATGAGACTGATTTGTCTCCTTTTTGAGACTAAGTTCCCGGGCGTTTAGAGATAAGCTTTCGTAAAAAGAAGTAATCTAGTTGGTGTAGAATTTGACGCTCTTTCTTATGGTACCCTTGAAAAAAATACGTCTGGTTTTTATATGAAAGGAAATTTTTTTTTCATAAGTTCCTTACAAAATACCTTATCTTGACTATCTTTATTTTACCTTTTCGCAATTATTAATGTCTTCAAAGTTTGTTGTCAATAAATATGTGGACTATACAACTTTTAATGCTCTATCTAATGGTATAGTTTAAATCTAGTTTTATTACATTAAACAATTGGAAACCTTTTTTTTGAGCTAAAATAGGGTTATTGTGGGATATAGGTTTTCCACCCTTTAGTTTCTTCGACCATAGAAAAGTTAAAGTATAGCTTATATAAGTCTATATTTTTTTCAGTAGATAACTAATTATCTCCTCTTTCGAATAGATACTGACAAGATTTTTTTTGACTTAAAAAAAATGAACATTAAGGCAATACTTTTATACTCCAGAGAGGGGGGGTCTTATAATTATGCAATGAGTGAAATTCAAAATTTCTTGAATCTAAATATTATTAATATTTAACCAAATAGAGATCAATATAGCACATGATAGATGCTTTAGCGATGTCTATATATATGGCACTAGATCCCTTATCAAAGCTTCTTTAGTAGCTGAAAACTTTATTATTCTCAAACGTGTAAAGGGGGGGGGGGGTCTTATAATTTTGGGAACCCCTGTATATTCTGACTGAGATACGCACTCGACCTTAAAGCAGATGTACCAACACGGACAACTAAATGAAAGTAATCTATTTCATACTATTATGATTGCATGATAGAGTTATATTTGTGTCACTAAACGACTTTTTCAATTACAAAATACTCAAGTACCAATGGTTCAACTTTTTTCTACAATTTTTCATTGAACAATTGATTTTTCTTTACAGAATTAATCAAAACACAATCAAAGACATTCTTTTATTCTTTTAACTATTATGATGCGCAAGAAAGAAATTTTCATCACTTTTCCATAATATATTTTATTTCATAAACAGTTAACAACAATGGTGATTTTAGTTCTAAAAAATACCAGAACCCTAAACTAACTATTACGTTATAGATCACTACAACAGAATTGCACCAGATATAAAAGAATATATTTCATAATGTGGATTATTGTTTCATCGATGAAAAACAGAATTTAGGGAGTTCTAACAATTTAGTCGAGGGTCAAGCGAGTCAAAGAGACGAGCGTTACTTGTCATTAATTGCTTTGATCATAAATTGATCTGCTTGACCTTGAGAAACAATGCTGAAGGGTCATGAAAAGTGCATTTTTTTCTCTTAATAGTGGAATTGGTAGGTATGCATTTCAGTTCATTTGATTACACTCAATTCAAACTTCGATCAAATTACTGCTTATCTTTATCAATATAATTTGATTACTTCTATATTATTTTCACTGATAATATTGCTTTTTTACTAATGTATCACTACTATAAAAGAAGATATATTTGTATGATAAATTTCCAACAAATAAAAATTTATTTTTTCAAATACTTTTCTTATTTGTACTTTTGATCAAACACAAATTATTGTTTTCATTCTGTTCTCCAAAGACGACCGCACTAGCAAGTAATTATTGTTAAGTATAAGCTTTCATCTTTATTGCTATTAGATCAAGTTTGACTTAAAAAGGGAATAATCGATATTCACGAAGACAATATTTATTCCTTCGCTGAAAAAGTGGCACCAAATAGTACATAACGATATATTTTAGTGGTTTACATAATCTGACACTATAAGAAAGAAGTCGATAACTGATGTTATCGCCACTATACAAGAATATGATTTCTGTCATGTCAAACTCTCATTAGAGGTGTTCTAGAGCGATCCCTCATAGAATTAGACTTATATGACTTGTATGTGCTGTTTCTCAGTCGATTGAAAGAGTTAATGCTATCGTATGTACACTATACTTGGATGTTGAAGATGATCACCTCTTTTTGTTCATAAATTAGAAGACCTATCAGACTAATACACATTTGGCTCGATGGCACCTTAAGACACTATTGTCGAAGTATAATTTTATGATTTTTTTTTGTCTGATATCTAGTGGATTTCGATTAGGATAATACGTTTTGTAAAATAACTAATATGATATTCTAAATCAGCCTCCAAATCTGAGTAGACTTAAAGGCATTTCAAAAATACTTGCAACCTTCTTTTTTGTGTCGAAAAATTCACTTCCGGTCTCCTCATGAGAGGCATCAAAAATGAATTTTATGGAAAATTGCCATGAAATTCAACTTTTGATCCGACCCTGAGGTAGATCACGAATGAATTTTACAACAAACACAGTAGTGTTGGAAAAATTTTTCAAATACACGTATAAGTCCATTGTGTTTTGGATGCTGATGAAGAATCTCATATTATTCATCATTTGAAAGAGCAGCGTCCGGTTTATCGATCTACATAGACCTCATTAAGACCAAAGGTACATTTTTATAGATGTTTTTGGATCAACACTCCTTTCTTCAAATATTTTCATCAATTTTCACAATAATCTCAACTCAAATTATATGAAAATGTAGCCAAAACAATCCTTTTTCCGCTATAAAATGATCACAATTTTTTGTAAACCCATTTGGAGTAAGAGGCTTTGTAATAATAAAACATGTGATCATTTTATAGCGAAAAAGAAGGGTGATTTTAGCTATATTTTCATATAGTTTGAGTTGAGATTATTGTGAAAATTGATGAAAATACGCAAAGAAAAAAGTGTTGAGTCAAAAACATCTATAAAAATCGTATATGTCACGATACCATTACCTTAGATATCGAGAACCAAACGTCAGGATAACCAACAGAATAGACAAGTGAATTCACCTTCACACTATACAACTCTCCAAAAGGAGTAATGGCTTCATTACCCACACGCAAATTATACCTCTTTAATCATGAGGGATCTGAGTGGATTTGGTGTAACGCGGTTATCACTAGGGGTGATACACCAAATCCACTCAAACTCCCCAACTTCTAGAATATGAATTTTTTTGTGGATGAATAATGTCATTACCCTTAGTATAATGCCTTGAAGAAAAGTGATTTTGTTCGTGGTGGGAGCATTGATCCATAGATGGAACAGGTACCGGTACGAATTTCAGATCGGTCGGTCACCGGTAGACCGACCTGTCTAACCTTTTCAGACTATAATCAATTCTAGTTGTCAAAAATTCAGACTAGTTTCATCTCTATATCAGATATGTGATACAACTTGATGAATAAAGTGTGTGTCATGCAATAAATCATGTTCTCTCTATCTATACCACTTTTTTTTTCTAACTGTGAATTATCGGTCTCAGAAATTTTAGATCAGTTCCATCTCTGCATTGATTTTGACAGTGGAAGAGATGAAGTGATTACTCCAGGGACTGGCAGCCTGTCGATGGAAGTGAATGCGCTTCAGTGTAATACCATATTAGTTTTTGTGTTGTGCGAATGTGGGTACCCGATGTAACGGAATTATAACGTCACTCATAAAAATGTACATTTCCTCTTAATGAGGTCTATGCAGATCAATAAACCGGACACTGGTCTTTCAAATGATGAAAATAGCAGATTTGTATATTGCTCCTATCGAAAACTATTAAAAAAATATCGGAGTGTCTGGAATTCTGGTGCCAATAGTAGTTATGATACAAAGCGTATTTTTATAATCGAAATCTATTAAATATTAGACAAAAATCATATCTCGAGATAGTCTCTTTGGTATTTCTTTGTATGATTAGTGTTTTAATATCATTTTGAAGCATTCAAAAAGTGCTAATTATTATCAATAATCGAGTTTAATGTACGTATACGTGATGGTCACTGACTATTTCAATTGACCTATGTACAGCGAAAATAAGTGCTAGAGGGCTAATTTTATCGGAGCTCACAATTCAAAAAATTGTGTGATAGTCTGGCAAAGAAGCAACCAGATTTATCGAGGGAGTTGTTTTCAATAGTTATCAATCCTATGACTTATCTATCTAATAATGAAGAACATACAGATTTTAGGCATTTGCTCGGATCTTCCAGTAGAATAATTATTGATTGTCAGTCTCTATTCACATCAGTCATCTCTTTCTTTTGGCTGTTTTTTATAATCTGAAACCGAACAACTTGGACTTTCTCAAGAACAAGCAATTTTTTCATAGAAAAAAAATGATATATTGCGATCATTTCTTCATACACAAACAGAATCAAATGATCAATGGACTAATGATTCCGCTATT